TAGAAAATCGATCCTTTAGTTGAACCCACATATCATGAGAACTGACACATCCAATGACATAGGAAATCGCAGTAGAAGAGAGATTAGCAATAAGCAACTGCATCAATGCTCGATCATGCATTTTCCAAACCTGATAGTCATCAGTTTCAACACCCTCAAGATCAGCGTCTGCATCAAATCGACTAGGACACTTCCTTGAGCCATCAACAAATCCCAAAATGCCATGACTCTCAAGAAGAATTTGCATCTGAAAGTGCCATGTGAGATAATTAGTATCATCAAGCTTGACTGTCACAGCAGTAGAAACCGTAGGAAGAAGAGAAGTAATAGGAGATTGAACAATCCGGAGTTGAGAAGTAGTCACCATTTGGAGAAGGCAAGAAGTAAAAGAGGAGAATCGAAGATTAAGAAGGAAGAAACTTGCAGAAAATTGAGGAGTTGAAGAAGAATTTCAGTGAGACAATATATCAAACAGATAATAGGCAGAACGAAGAACAGGAAAGAATTGTATGGATTAGAAGATAACGAAGCCAGAAACAAAAACAGAAACCAGAGAGTGCGGAAGCAGAAGATCACAAGATCACAAGATCAAGAATCCATGGCGAATGATACCATATCAAGATAGCAGAATTACAGAGGCAAATAGAAAAGTGAAGGGAAGCAGAGAGAATTTCTGATGAATAGAGAGAGAAGAAACTATTGTATTTTCATTAATCTTTGTCTAACACTATTACAGATCTTTATATTAAGCTATAGCTAGAAGCTGGTTCACGTTCTCTAACCTCTCTAACTTCTCTTTCTTTCAATGATCAATGCTAACAGACTTTCTTAAATGTCTAACAAGACTAACAACATTTTAACCACTTGATTCTTTAATCTCTTGACATGTGGCAAGACTAGGACCTTTGATATCTTTACAATAAGTTGATTAACTATTAAAAATGTCTCAAATTCTTATTATACGATTTAATTTCTTGATTATTTTAGATAATAACAGGAAAGTACTAATTTGCTTATATTTCTTATTCCGTCAAGAAATTTGGCTTTAGAGAATTCTGTATTGGGATATTAGTTATAGGAATTTGTGGCCTTGTCCTAAAGAAGTTTGGGGTATTCATCCATAGAGTGCACAGTAGTGTGATTTTTTTGACAAGAAATTAGGTCAATTTGGGTACCCATTTATAGAGTCTTACAAGTTTTTTTGTTTTTTAATCGAAAGGGTCTTAGAGTTTAAGTATGAATTTGAAATGACTTCGAAAGTTTAGGAAGTTATATGTAGTTGCTTCTATTTTATTTAATGATATAATGAAGTATATGCAAGTATAAATAACATTTTCTTATCACATATATTTGAGAAATACATATCATTAGAAAGGAAAGACCCACCTTTATTTTCGCACCAAGCCCCTAAAGTCTGGCTAGCTGCCGTCCATCTCTATTGCTTGTGGCAACATCCTTTTCGGTGGATATTTATATTACACTCGGAACATTCATACACCAATCCTTGGCAAGGTTCACCACACAGCTCACAAGGAAGAAAATCCTTGTATCGCTTGTCCTTGGGAATGACGCTCTTGATCTTATCAACAAGGGTGACAGGTTGTGGGTGAGCATCATGCTTGTAACTGCTTCCTAACTTGATTTGAGGATACCTCTCCAGAACACATTCAGAATGGAAATCGAAGTCGCATTTTCCGCAGCGGTAGAACCAATGTTTTGGATCTCGTTTTCCTTCACAAATTTCACAATATCCAACATCGTCTGTAACTCTCTCATATGTGAGCTTGAGAGGATGGTTGACATATTTGTGCCTAGCAATAACCGGCAGTTTAACACATCTAATACAACAATGGAAGTTAACAGGACAATCCTTACCTAAGAAGCAACTGAAGCGGACAACTGGTTGACAACCACAACCAAGACAATAGTCACTTACCTTCTCTTTAATTAGGTCGCCTTGTAAGGACATCTGAGCTATGTTCCCTTTGTTTAGGATAAGGGGGTGATAGTAGTGAGCCTTATGTTCAAGTGAGTCCGGAAGAAGATTGCATTGAAGGTCAAGGTAGAAGTTACATTTTTCACAACTGTAGACAAAACCTTGGCTCAAAGTGTTGCACATGTCACACTCAAACACACCATCAATAGAAGGCGCCTTTGAGAGGAGTATGAGGGGGTGTTGTGGGTGAAATGGGTGAAGCCTCTCGCTGGGTAATCGAGCACAGTTCGTATGAAGAAAGAAATGACACTTTTGTTGTTCTTCTTCTTGTTGTTGCATGCAGCTATAAAAGGTTAGGCATCCGTGGGGGGAATGGGTTGCATGCAACCGGCACATCTAATAATTACCTCTTCATGATGACCAATGATGAGGGTTAAGAAATGTTGTTGATGACTAAAGTGCTTGATCTTGTCCTGCAGATCCCCACTGGTGATCTGTTGTTGTGCCACATCAGCTTTGGACGCCCCAATCTCATCATCATCACCAATGCTCTCCTTAACCGCGCATGTATTGTGGGCAATGTAACGGCAAGGCTCACAATAATAGAAACCGCGGCTTTTGTCCATGTTCGTATAGCATAGTTTACAAACTTCCCCGCTCGTGTAAATAATGCGTTCAACAGACCATCTAAGCATGAGAGGGTGTGGGTGCGCTCTTGTTCTAACGTGGCCTGGTAATGAAGTGCAATATTTATGGACCAAGAGCTGACAGATGCTACAGATATAGACGGTGTTAGATCCCTTCATGCCGCAAACATCACAATTGAATTCCATGTCCTTCCTTCGAGAGAGCCTGAATTTGTGGTGGTGATTTTCAATGATGCCGAGCCAAGTGGTAGCGCACTTGAGGTCGACCATGAAGCACCATTTGTGTTCGGAACAACGGTAAGCGAAAGAGGGGTAGTAATGCTCTTGATTACAGACATCACAAGTGTAGTCATCAGTATTTGTGAGGAGAGTGAGTGGATGTCTTTTATGAAGGGGGTGATGCATTTGAGCTGGTAGCTCCGCGCATGATTTATGAAGAATGAAGCTACTGGGTCCTCACATGCAAGAGTAGTAAGGGCTGTCGACTGGGTCCTCACATGCATTGCAGAAAAGACTTCCACCATATCTTTTGTTCTGCACTTCTTCCTTGAACATCAATGGATGGTTGTGGCTGACATGTGTGATCTCCATTTCTTCTCTCTCTCTCTCTGAAATATCAATATAAAGTTATTATAGAGATATATATATATATATATATATATATATATATATATATATATATATATATATATATATATATATATATATATATATATATATATATATATATATATATATATATATATATATATATATATATATATATATATATATATATATATATATATATATATATATATATATATATATATATATATATATATATATATATATATATATATATATATATATATATATATATATATATATATATATATATATATATATATATATATATATATATATATATATATATATATATATATATATATATATATATATATATATATATATATATATATATATATATATATATATATATATATATATATATATATATATATATATATATATATATATATATATATATATATATATATATATATATATATATATATATATATATATATATATATATATATATATATATATATATATATATATATATATATATATATATATATATATATATATATATATATATATATATATATATATATATATATATATATATATATATATATATATATATATATAGGTACAAGAAATCATAGAAATGGAGAGTCACAAGCATGCAAACAGATATAGTAAAGAGCCAAGAAAAGCATATTCATTTCTTTTCAGTAGAGAAATTGGCATTCTTTGGATTCTTAGCTTTGGGATATTAATTGCCAATAGCAATAAGCACAAATTCTAACTTCTGTTACAATACTTAACAAATAGTCGTCCTCAAGTGTCTTGCATATAACCAGGGGCAATATAGTCCATTCAAACCAAATGCCCCCGGTCAAGTGAGATTCTGTAAAAAGTTTTGTTTTATATTTGCCCTTGCGACGAGGCGATATGAGAGGCACGTGACCACTTCCTATTAAATATTCTAACGGAAGTTAGAATGTTGAATTATGCCGTTGCTTCCTCAATTAGTAACCCATCACTAGCAGTCTTGGGAGAAATTCTTCGGGTTCTTTGTTTGCGAACCTTAGTTGCCCATACAAGTAAGGGTAAAAAAAAGTATCTTTTTTGTTTTGGTTGAAGAAAGAAAAAAAGGTATCAAAACCGGGGAGCTCTACAATGAGGAGTTTAGAGTGAAGAGCTTATTTGAGGGGTTCAATCTCACCATTAAACCATTTAAAAATTTTAATTCCATTGATTTCCTCACATTTGTTGATGGTGGGATTGAACCCCTCAAATAAGCTCATCACTCTAAACTCCTCATTAGAGCATTTCCAATCGAAACTGTGGTAATATGAACATGGTGATAGCTTAAATGACCCAAGAAGAAAATACTGTAACATTGGCCCAAATATAAGAGAAGCCCACAATGTTTCCCATTGAAAAAGCCTGGGAATAGGATTATTAACTTGGTACAAGCCCAATAATTGGGTGAACCAAATAAGATCCTTTGAATAAAGCCCAAAGTACGTATTCAATTTTGGGCAACCAACTTGGTAATTAGACAATTATTTTTATTCATACGAAGAATTTGGTCCTGTAAAGAAACCTTCCATTATTTTTATTTTTATTTCATAAATGAATTCCTCCCGATCTTTCTGAGATTCCGGCCGATTCCAATCCAAAATTTTTCAATTTCAACAAGTCCAAATCAATTCTGACATCGGAAAGTTCCAAAATTCCAAAATTCCAAACAAAATTATATTGGAATTAAATTGTATCTCAAGATTCCAAAAATTCCGAGTTCCAAAATATATGTGAATTATAAAGGTTTAGGGTCAATTTGGTGACCCAATCATTTAGTTCATCAATTTCCTTTCTTAAGCAATTAAGCAAATGTTCTAGATTCGCTTACAAATATTGAAGGGTAAATCATGCCATAAATTGAATAATAGTTAGAGAAAAAAATTCTTATGGGTGAGTGAACATGAATAATTTCGGAAAAAGGATTTTAAATTTTTGATATTAAGTAGTTTTTATCAATGTGGATGGATCCTTGGAAGAAACATACTAATAAATGGAAACAACCAATTATATACAAAGTCGAAGAAGGACATGAATAATTTCGGAAGAAGGATTTAAATTTTTGATATTAAATAGTTTTTATCAATGTGGATGGATCCTTGGAAGAAACATACTAATAAATGGAAACAACCAATTATATACAAAGTCGAAGAAGAAAGAGGGCATCTTGTATATATTTGCAAGAGAATATTAATCATCTCCAAGAAAACGAATTATCCTTGACATTCTCATCTACTCTTCCTATGCTAGGCCTCGGTGTTGATGTACCAAATATGCAGAAGCATAAAAATAAATAAATTAAGTGCTCCAATTAGAACAACGTGAAGCAAATTACTGCCTATGAGAACAAGCATTGGACTGTATGTGCCGGCCAAATACTGCTTAAACAGTCCAATCTGTCAAGACGAATCCTGCTCCTATTAAACTTTAGCCTTGGCACTGTCAAGGCGAATGTAATATGCCAATGTTCTTCAAGATCAGGAGGTCCAATTGCGGATATTTCAAGAAATTGTTGAGACCTCAAAAACTTAAATTCATACCAGAAACAGGCTTCAAGGAGCAAAACTAGAAATGGAAAGAATGGAAAACCAGAGGCTAAAGTTTCACCACTTTAGCCATGAACATCCGTTGGAGCATACCAATTCACCTCCCAAACAGAACAAGACTTGTGCAGGTTGCAATCTCATGATACTGCCTGGTAAGGACTACTACAGCTGCCCAACTTGCTCATTTTTCCTGCACCAAGTGTGCTACAACATGCCCCCAAAAACGCGTCACCCGGCTCATCCAAGCCACTACCTGAACCTCCATCCTTCTCCACCTTCAAGCACCAAAGGGCCCTTGAATTGTCAGGCTTGCGGAAATCATGTCACCGGATTTTACTATGATTGCGCCGATTGCGGCCTTTACTTCCATGGCTTGTGCTCAGGCCTGCCCTTTTCCATTGCTACTCCATCCCACCCTCATGCATTGAAATTGTCATTTTCACCCCCGTTCGATTTATGCTGTGATCTCTGCAATGAGCCAGGTTATGATGGGTGGCTGTATAGATGTCTCATTTGTGAGTTTGATACTCATATTTCTTGTGCCATTTGTAACCAGACAGGTCTTCAACCTCCCCAAAATCGAACTCCACTGCTGTCCACCAGCACGTTTTCGAGGCAGACTAAGCATTCTTCAGCATCTTCTTTTGGGATCAGTGTAGCAGAAAATTACAATATTGAAGGCAATGAACTGTTGCAGTTGGTAAGGCAGAAAGTTTCTAGGGGCAACTTTAAAAGTATTGGTGAAGAAAAAGTTGCAAGCGCAGCAGTAACTGGCTGGGATGAGAGATTATATTCTCCTAAACAAAACTTCAATGTTAGAGTTAGCAAACTTGGACATGGTGGACCAGATCAAACAGATGCAGGCACGGCCATCACTTCTTCAAATCCAAAAGATCCAGCAACTCCTATTTCTGAGGACATGACTTTGACTCCAAGTTATCAATTCAGCGATGCGTGTTTTTCAATAGATTTGGCAAAGTCTTATTCATCTTATGGTCAGAATACTCAAGCAAAGAAGGAAAGTGATCAACAAGGTCCACAGGGCACTTCTGATGTTCGAGGAACACTTAGCTACAGCGATAGTACTATTGTCCCCAACAAGATTTCGAGCAATTCAAAACCAGCAAAGCAGCCCAGTTTTGTTAGTGGACCTGGTACTAATTATTCCAATAAAATTGGAAAAGAAAGTAGGCTGAATGAAGCATTGTTGATTCAAGGTGACACTCTTAAAAGAATGGAATTTGGACCAAAGGAGAAGAGAAAAGCTGGTGAAACAATGGTGAGATCAACGGTCGGAAATCAGAGTACTAAATCAGAGACAGTAAGTTGATACCAAATTTGATGCTATCAATTGATCCTAGTTTATTTTGGTCTGTTTCAAGTTCTGTATACATTCATGTTTTCAATTTCATCATATGTTTATCACTCCGCCATACTTTTCAGCTGTAGATAGTGTACGAATCTCCAAATTTAGTGTTCTGTTTAGGAACTCAAAAATGTCTTAGTTTATAACTTGATCAACTACTGGTTAAGAATGTCTCAACTTCTTACTATGATTTAATTTCTTGATTATTTCAGATAATAACAGGAAAATACAAATTTGGTTATTCCTTGTCCATCAAGAAATTTGGTTTAGAGAGTTCTAAATTGTGATTAGTTATAGGAACTTGTTGCCTTGTTCTAAACAAGTTTGGGATATTCATCAATGGAGTGCACAGTTGTGTGACGCCAAGCAAGTTCATTCTATAAGGTCTTTTGAAGAGAGTTGTGTTATTATTTTGCTGTAAGCCTGTAACAGAGCATCCACTATTAATATTGTGTTCACCATTTGCAGGAAATTTCCAGCCCTTCATGTTGGCAGAGTCCCTTCGGTTGCTGCAATCCAGGGTATGAAAGAAGCACCAACTAAAGTTTTTAGAAAGCCAGAAGCATAAGAAAACTTCAGATCCTGAAAAGTCTTTTCTTCCTGTAATTTATTTTTATGCCAAGATTTCACAAGAGTAACAAAAGTTTCATATATTCTATTGAGAAAATCCTCCTATTATTTTGCTGTAAGCCTGTAAAAGAGCATCCACTATTAATATTGTGTTCACCATTTGCAGGAAATTTCCAGCCCTTCATGTTGGCAGAGTCCCTTTGGTTGCTGCAATCCAGGGTATGAAAGAAGCACCAACTAAAGTTTTTAGAAAGCCAGAAGCATAAGAAAACTTCAGATCCTGAAAAGTCTTTTCTTCCTGTAATTTATTTTTATGCCAAGATTTCACAAGAGTAACAAAAGTTTCATATATTCTAT